CCCCCCCCCCGGCCCTCTTCAAATGCCCCAGTGACATCATCTCCATCGACAAGTCCACCGGCAAGATCACGAAGCTTGGGCGTTCGTACGCCCGGGCGCGTGACTTCTCGGTGTCCGGCACCGCCGGGCCCAAGTACATGGCCTGCCCCGACGGGGAGCTCCAAACCCGCGAGACCGTGGTGCACAGTGTGAACCTGCATGAGATCGATGTGATCAACAGCCGCACGCAGGGGTTCCTGGCCCTCTTCTCCGGTGACACCGGTGAGATCAAGCCCGAGGTGCGCGAGCAGATCAACCAGCGCGTCGGCGACTGGCGCGATGAGGGCAAGGCCGAGGTGGTGCCCGGTGTGCTCTTCATCGATGAGGTGCACATGCTGGATGTCGAGTGCTTCTCCTTCCTCAACCGGGCCCTGGAGTCGGAGCTGGCGCCGGTGGTGGTCATGGCCACCAACCGCGGGGTGACGCATGTCCGTGGGGCCGAGGAGGGGGCCGTCCTTTCGGCGCATGGCATCCCGCCGGATCTGCTCGAGCGCCTGGTCATCATCCTGATGCAGCCGCACTCGGAGGCGGAGCTGCGCGCGGTGCTGGCCCTGCGAGCCGATGAGGAGGAGGTCGACATGACCCCGGCGGCACTGGACGCGCTGACACGCATTGCCGCCGACACCGGCAGTCTGCGCTACGCGGCACAGTTGATTTCTACTGCCTCCTTTGCCGCGCGGCGGCGCGCAGCCGTCGGCCCGGTCGATGTCCAGGACGTGGAGCGTGCTTATGCCCTGTTCTCCGACCGGTCCCGCAGTGTCAGCTACCTTCAGCAGACCGGCGGCGCGGGCTTCCTGTGAGACGCGAGGCGGAGTGTGTGTGGTGTGTGAGTTTCTCTCTCTCTCTCTCTCTCTCTCTCTCTCTCCCTCTCTTCTCCACACCCGCCCGTAGTTGGAGGTCAGAAGACCCCGCCGGCCTGTGGTGGTATATCCCCTCGATGCCCCTCCTGCCTCTCTCTCCTTCTCCCTCCTCCCTTTGGCCGCGAGTTCTACACAATGTACATTATATACACCCCTATCCTCATACCCATATGCAAGCTCGCCCACCCATGTGCCCCGGGTGTGCGGTCCATCGGCCCTGGCAGCGAGGTCGTGGGGGAAGCATTCGCCCAGAGGATGGACCAGGGGGGGCGAGGGCGACACACGCGGCGCGTGGCACCCCGCCCCATCCTGGCGCGCGCACGAGCGCGCGGCCCGGGCCAAATATCTCCAACATGCCAACTGAGAGCCAAATACTTGGGACCACAAACCTTGGCAGTTAACACTCTTTTCATTGTCACCTGTTGCGGTGGCACTCAGCGAACGCCCTGCGAGCGCTCCTTCGGTGCACGCCGTGGCACTCCGTGGAGGGGCAGGGGGGCGGGGGGGCGAGACCATCGCCTGGGAAAGAAGGCGGGCTGTTCTCTTGGCAGCCGGGATCCTTTTGATTTAGCCGCGCTCGCCCGCTGGCACCTCTCCTGTCAAAGCGGTCTGGGGCCGACTGGTCGCCGGGCAAGTGCGACCCAGTCAGCCTCGGCGCGGGAGGGGCACGTCTTTTGCGGCCCTCCCGTCCTGCCCCTCACTCTGGCCCGCCCGGCCGCCGCCAGGGTTACATATTCAATCGGTTTACGGGGGGGGGGTGATCGCTCGTATTGCACCCCGGGAGAAGCAGTCATGGCCGATTGTTCGGTTTTTGGCGCCGGTCTGAGTCAGGGCCCTACCCCCGGCCGGGGGCCCGCGTCACCAGCAATCAGGTCCTCCTCGCACCCGTCGAAGACACGCAGGCAGACGTCGCCCCCCGGGATCGCCGCCCGAGTCCATCGGGCGGTCTGGCTCGGGTGCGGGGGTGTCGCGCCAGGACCACACAGATCCCGCCCCTTGCTCGTGTTAAATGCCAACACCATCGAGGAATAGAGAGCGCGGCGCCTCACCACCACGCATCGCCGTTCCCCCCCCCCCCCTTGATACTTCCATTTTCCCCGGTTCTCACAGGTAGAGCTCGTCCCTCCCCCCTCCTACCCCCCTCCTCTCTCTCCTTCTTCCCCTGCCCTTTCCCCACTTTCCCCTTTTCCCTGCCTGTCTTCGTTTCCCTCCGCCTGTCCCACCCCTCCCACCACCCCCTGCCATGGCCTCGAGCGACCTCCCCTCGCCGGTGAACGCGACACCGGTGTCGGAGGGGAGCCCCTTCCGAGCGACCGGCACCGCCAGCAACCCGCTGACTTGGCAGAAGAGTGTGGCCGTGCTGCAGACGGCCCTGCAGCAGCTGACCGCCGGGGTTGGTCCGATCGCCAATTTCGTCGGCAACTCCCCCCTCCTGGGCGAGGTGCAAAGTGCCCTGTCCAGCGCGCAAGCACGCTTCGAGGAGGTTGCTCGCGCGGTGCCGCCATCCTCCAACGACGCCACTCCAAATGGCGACCTCTTCTGGCCGCCCTTCCGTGCGGCGCTCCGCTTGGCCAGCCCGGACCCGGCGGACACGCGCGAGGTCCATCCCCAGCTGTCGGTGCTGGCCGACATCGCACTGGACCAGATTGAGAAGCTCCTGCTGTTCGGTCTGCTGCGTGGCCAACAGCGCGATCCGGTGACCGGCCTGCGCATGATGGACGAGGTTGTGAGTGTCGTGTGTGGCCTGGCCCATGGCGGTCGCGGCTCGGAGCAGGTCCACATTCAGCTCCTGCGGCTGTTGCTGACCATGACCACCATGACGCAGAGCCCGCACTCGGCGGCCAGTGCCGGGGCTGGGAGCAGCGCTCCCGCCTCCGGCATGGCCACGCCGGTCGGCGATGGCGGCGAGCCCCTGCACACTGGCCTGCCCTTGATGAGTGGCACATCGCTGGTCCGGGCCTTGCACACGGTGGCCACCATCTCCACGCTGCGCTCCAAGTCCACCATCATCCAGACCACCGGCCGTGCCAATCTCATGCGAATTACCCATGCGGCGGTCAGCCGCGCGGTCAATGTCGAGGCCGCCGAGGTGGATACCCCGTATGCCGAGACCCTGCGCGCGGATGTCTATGGCATACTCCGGCACTTGAGGTAGCGTTTGCCCCGGCCTCGACTGTCCCCGCCACTCGCCCGTGCCCTTTCTCGCCCTTTTCGTTTGGGACCCCTTTTGAGCTCTGCCCCTGACGCCCCCCCCCCCCCCCCCCCCCCCC